TTCCAGGTGAAATCTCTTTCAACAGTTAGCTGGGCACATTCCAGTCCCTTGCCCTGCATACACACCACCCACATACATCCGCACACACACATGCAGACATACACATGTACAAAACACAAATGGCTTAGTCCTATACGTACTGGTGGGGTGACTCGTTTCCACTTTGCATCACTCCCTATCAGTACTTAGAGATCCTCCTCTCCTTTGGAAGGGTGCGTTGGTATCAGTACGGATGGCTGGACTTCCCTTCCCAGCACCCCAGGATCTCTCCCCCCTGCTTGCACTGCCCCTTAGGCACTCCCTGGACCCAGTGCCCTGGTAGTCCAGGCACCAGATGACCAAAGAGTAGCCTCTGTAAGGCAGCATTTCCCACTGATGGCACCTGGCAGGATTTTAGAACAGTGCCAGGCTTAATACATACTTGTGCAGTGAATTTGATGGAGTCCTTAAACACACACTTTAAAAAAAAAAAATTTAGAGATTATTAATTTAACATATGTTGGGAAAATATACTGAGTATATCAAACCAGTGATTCAAGGATATTTTAAAATTTCCTTTAACATAAGTTTACTTAAGTTTAATGAAATGAATCTATTTAAAGAGAATTATTAAGTAAGTAACAGCACAGGTGGAACATGCATATGGCCAGAATCCTAGCACTGAAAGTGCCTGAGTAAGGTTTGGAACTGCTGTGGGAGGGGCTGGCCTTTGCAGCTGGGGGCCTGGCAGCCTGGTTTCTGAGGTTGCTGCTCAGGGACTCTGGAGAGCCAGGAAGAGGGGGAATAAATCTAGGCCTGCTGGACATAAGAAGATTTGAGTCTCTCTCGTGGTCTAAGCATTGTATGTACCAAGAAAAGTGGCACCAAAGACCAGAAAAACAGAGCTGCCAGGACTCCTGGGTGGCAGTGGGTCATGACGAGCATCTGCAGTGGTGAGCAGGGACAAAGACTTCCTCCATTGGGGTCAGCTTCCCCATAGGCAATGAAAGGAGCAGACCAAACCATCAGGGGTCTTGCATCATCGTGAGGGCACTGGGGAGCCACTGAGGCTTACTCATCACAGCGGTGACATAATGAGAGCACCTTGAAGCCTACCAGAAGTATAAACTATTTGGGGCATGCCCCTAAATAAAGGAACTGCAGCTGTTTTGGCAATTTATTGTGGTCTTCAACCAATAGCCATGATGTTCATGAGCAAATAGGCTGAAACTGAAGAAGGGATCTGGGGTAGACTGGAAGGAGACTTGCTTAGCCATACAACGGCTCCCCAAGGGAAAGTCAGACATCACAGACCTCAGAGATCTCCAAAGAGTGACTCTGAAGAATGATGTTCATGAGCAAATAGGCTGAAACTGAAGAAGGGATCTGGGGTAGACTGGAAGGAGACTTGCTTAGCCATACAATGGCTCCCCAAGGGAAAGTCAGACATCACAGACCTCAGAGATCTCCAAAGAGTGACTCTGAAGCCACTGATTCTGTAGCCGACAAAAGCACAGGCAACTACCAGCCACCTTTCCTTTGTTTCTGATACCTGGGAGAGGCAGGCTAACCCCCATGGCCTTGTGAGTTTGCAGTGGGGGGCTCTGAGCCCCTCCCTGCCCCCTCCCACACCTGCCCTTCCTTCCTCTCCTGCTGCCTCCCTCTGGCTTGGCAGAGAGAGGAGGAACCTTGGTCTATTGCTTTTAAAATGTTGAGGCCAAATACTTATCTATGGGATGATCTCAACCACGTCTTGAAAAATGTATGAATGTACAGGAAGAACATATAAAAATGTTAACCAAGAGTGGTTCTCTCTGGATGGAAGAAAATCAATAATTTTTTTTTTCCTTAAAGAGCAGAGAGGAGAAATGCCACCGAGATGAGACCTCCTAACAGCCAGATGCCCCCAAAACAGCTGAGCTCAGACCTGGGTCCCTGCCACAATAAATCCCCACGGCACTAGCACACGAGGTTAGCTCAGCCCCGGTGATGATGTCAAGGTGAAAGAAAGCTCCCTCTTGATACTTAACAGAAAATCAAGCCAAGGCGGAAATCAGCACAAACAAGCTATTTTGAAAAGGTGAGTGAACCTGGAGCAAGGCCCAGGTTTTATTGATAGAAGGCTCCGTCCTGCCCCAGTTCTGCTGAAGCATGCAGTCGGGCCTGTGCAAGGCAAACACGGCAGCCCGACCCAGCCACCCGAGAGCAAACCCATGCCAGGCTGTTTGCCGACGGGGGGCTGCTCAGCACCCATGCAGGATTCTCAGCTCCTTCCTGTGATATTTCCGTGGTGGTTCTGCTCTAGACACAGTCCTGATTTAGCTTGCTAGAGCATCGCCAGGTGAATGCCTCTTTCTAACAGTTTCTGAAAACTCAGACTTGAAAGCACCTCTTCCCTGCTGACATTCCAAGGATGAGACAACGTACACAGCAACGCCCAGGCCCTTCCTGGGGCCTTCTGCCTGCCACACCTGGGGCCGGATAACCTGCTCTAGGGCAGGGTTTCTCACTCTACTTCAGTATGATCGACATTTGGGGCCAGATAATTCTTTGTTGTGGGGAGCTGTCCTGTGCACTGCAGCATGTTCTGCATCATCCTCGGCCTCCCCCAAGTTGTGACAACCACAGATGTCTTCAGACGTTGCCGAATGTCCCCCACTGGGGCAGACACACTATTACCCCTATTTGAGACCTGCTGATCTAAAGGAAGACACCCAAGAAGGGGGTTCAGGAAGCGTTTGGGGGAACTGGGCTTGACGATGGGGCAAGGGCAGAGTTGAAGGGGCAGATACTGACTTGGAAGCTCCCTGCAAAGCAACATGACTGCCAGTTGTCGAGTAAGGCAAATCGTAACTAAAGCCAAAACGTTTCATTATTTTAGTTATACTAAGTTTCTATTTGTATTGTCAGGGCGCGGGCTCACAAACCCTTCAAGCCCACTGTACAGACTGGGTCCCCAGGCCGCTCACACGCAGGTCCATGCTAGGTAATTGGGAAAGATGCCGGGAGCCGTTGGCAAATGACATTAGCTCAGTCCTCAGCAGCTTATAGGTCTGGCAGTGACGGCGGCATCTCAGAGGGCCCTGGGGGCACTGGCAGCACCAGCCTCTAGCAGCAGTAGTGGCCTCCCCACGGGCATCCTAGGGGCTAGGGACGCTGTGGATCAGAACCACTCGTTCTTTATACTTAAGTCCATAACCCAGGACAGCTGGGTGCACATGCGCAATTACATTAGACAATAACCAAGGAACACTTGGGTGCACGTGCATATTTACATCAAATGCTCGGCAAGATTCTGAACACCTGAGGGGCCCTGACCATTTTCCTATATTTTCCCAACATTCCCAAAGAGAAAAAATTGGAATTCCTCCATCTTCTAAGGAAAACCTTCAGCAAAAGTCCACGTTGCTCTTCAGTGTTTGGAGTGTGCCTCCCCTCCTTTCCCTGCCCCCCACCCTGGATGGACGGGCTCTGCCAGAGGCAAGGCCCTCCCAAGAGGCCTGGTGACATCCAGGCTACACCATAACAGTTACTATTGCGAAGTCTGCAGAGGATGTATGGAATTTTTAAATAGGCATTTGAGAACCAATTCAATGTCATCCTTATAAAAATATACATCATACTTGCTTTCCCAGGGGGAGAAAACCCATGGGGGTACAGCAGGGAGGCTGGTAACACCCATGGGTGGGTCAGGCATTTGAGCACCATTGATCATGTGTGTCACGGCCACTCTGGGGATTTGGGGTTACTCGTGAGTCCTACATCCAGCATCTGAGTTCCCTACTACTGTCTCTCACAGAACCTAGGATTTTCTCTCATAGACACGGGGTTTATTTGTTAAAGTCCTGCTCCCCTACCCTACCGTAAGCCCAGGATGGGCAGGGGCCGTGTCTGTTCCCTTCATCACTAAGTCTCCTGCATTCCTGGGCCTGGCATATGGTAAACACTCAAGACATATTTGTTAAATGAATGAAAGGATGATGGCCTTAAACATTCCTTTCCTCCCTGACCAGCAACCTTCGAATCATACATTAAGGCTTAGATCAAACATCACCTTAGCTGGGAAGCCTCCCCTCTTTTCTCCCAGCAGAAACAATCTCACGGTGTACCAAAAACACTTGGCTCATACTCTTATCGTAACGTGTGCCACGGTATTTGTTTGTGTTCTGCCTCCCCTGCCAGAATGTAAGCTCGCTGAGGCTAAGAATTGTGATGGATCATGTATTATCCTCCCTCCCACTGTGCTTGGAACATAGTAGATACTCAGTAAATGCTTGTTCAATACAAGAATCAATAAATGTACTCCTCTGGCTCCATTCTAAATTCTAGACATCTAAAGTTCGGACACATTGTAGTTCAAGTGCCTCGGCGAAACCTAGAACCAGGAGCTGCTTTGGACATCAACTTCCTGGTCCTTTAACACAGGGAAAGAACATTTGTCCAGCCTCTCTGACTGTTGATCTGGCCTGGCTGCTTAAGTGGCAGGCAGGACCAGGTGCTTGAGAAGCTTCCACCCAATATCCCTACTGCCCCAGGGCTATGAGGCCCCTAAGGACCTTCGGGAGGTTTCTCTGGAACCCACCCCACCCCCACCCATGCCCACACCTCTGGCTCAGAGCTCTAGGTAGAATGGGCTCTTGTGCTTGGGGAAAACTACAGGGGACTTCCGAGTATCTACAGACTTCTCTGTGTCACCGCTCCCAGATCCCCTGGAAAGGGGTGAGTCTGTGGACTCCATCTGGTCAGAAGGGGACTCCAACATCCAGCACATATGGAATACTGAAGCCTCATGCCACCTCCTGCTCCCCAGAGCTCCTGGGTGAGAAAGCACAGCCTGGGGCACTTGGGGAGGCTGTTCCCAGCCTGGTCCGTGAGCTTCACTGCCTACCTGGCTGAAGGTCGAGGTAAGAGTGCTTTCTGGAGAGGGTCTGTCCCGGGCTGAGCCCTCCTGCTGACTGCAGTCCAGCTGAATCAGCTTGGGGAGGCTGTTCCCAGCCTGGTCCGCGAGCTTCACTGCCTACCTGGCTGAAGGTCGAGGTAAGAGTACTTTCTGGAGAGGGTCTGTCCCGGGCTGAGCCCTCCTGCTGACTGCAGTCCAGCTGAATCAGGTTACGGCACTCTGGGTGGCAGGTGAATTTACAGTCTGGAGGGAAAGAACCAAAGAGGGATTAGGGGCAAGGCAGAATTTCTACCCACTTCCATCCGGAGAAATCACCTGGGAGACTGTTGAGCTCTCGAGGGGAAGAGCAGTGCGGGAGAGAAGTGGAGGTGTGGGAGACGGCGTGAGAACAGTGCCCTGCCGTCTGTGCCACCGTGAATGGTGGAAGTTAAGTGCTTTACCGTCCGCAAGCTGCTTTCACCTGCATTATTTTGTGTGTACCTGCAGTCATTATTACTGCCATTTTACAGATGGGAAATTGGGGCCTGGGGACTTTGGTGGCTTTCTCAAGGTCAGATCATCTGGCTGCAGACTGGTGTTCCTTCTAGTAACTTACATTAATCCCCAGGGGCTATGGATTCCCGGGGAAGGACTTAACTTTCCTGGGCCTTGTTTTGCCAATCTGTAAAATGTAAGTAATAGCTGCCCTGCCTGTTGCACAAGGATGTTGTTTATAGTTATAGGGGAGGAAATGTCTTGAAGAATTAAAAGTGCTTCCAGAGACAAAGGCATTATCATGAGTAGGAAGGGCTGTCACCTCTCTCTGACGCTTGCCAGTCTAGAAATGTGGGATGGCTATTCTAACCCAGCTGAAATAGCCTACAGACAGTCTCCCAAATCAGGTGCTTCAGGGGGAAAAGCACACGCTCCATCGACAATGTTCACCTTCCATGGAAGCAGAGACTTCATGACCACAGTTGAAAAGAGCTTTGGGGGCTACTTTAGAGATCAGGAAAATGAAGCCCAGAGAGGTAAAGTGAAGCGGCCAGTGACATACAGCTCACTGGTGGCAGAGCCAAGGCTGCTAGTACTTTCCAGGTCTCTCAAAGGCTTTCTCTGGAGCCTCCTTGGCAGAAGGGAGGTAAAGTCAAAGGGGACAGGAGATGTTGAGACTCAGCCAGGCAAGGGGAGGGGAGAGGAATGGGTGTGCGGGGGCGGGGGAGGGTGAAGGAGAGGGTAGCAAAATGCTCGACCTCAGGTGCGGTGCCCACAAAGAGCTGCTGGCTCGGCCGTGGTCGCCTGTCCTGGAGGTGCCACAGCCCAGTAAAAAGGCCCAGCTTTCTAGATGCCAGAGTCTCTCGGAAGTCTTCCTTCTTGACTATGAAGTCAGATGCATGGGATGTGCTGGGCAGGCAGGGTTTGTGGCAGGGGACATGACAACCTGGACTTGCTTGGATACCTGGGGATTAGGGCACCACTTTTGGTTGATAAGGGCTCAGGAACCGCAAGACTCTTTTCCTTTCTTCTAATAAGCTCCAAAAATTCAGCACATTTGGTCTCTTTTTTTAAAGCTGCCACAGCGTGTTTTATCTTGGGGTAGGGGTGGCAGCTCCTACTCTCTCCTCTCTTTTGAGGAGTTTTGGAATGAGACCCACAGAGGACATCGAACATGGAGTCAAGGTACATGATTAACCAGTTTTGAGACTGGCCGGCCCTGGGGGATTTTGGACTTGTTTAGCACCTGTCACCCCTTTCTTTTGGCCTATTTCTCCCTTTTTGCATGAGAATATGTATCCTATGATTGTCCCAACATTGTATCTTGGAAGTAGATAAGTTTTTTTTTTTTTTTTTTTTGTCTTTTGTCTTTTTCCGTGTCCGGCAACGGGATCGCAACCCTCAGTGTTGCCCCCGTACTGGACCGGGGACCGGCAACGGGATCGCAACCCTCGGTGTTGCTCCCGCGCCTCGCTCAGCCAGTGAGCGGGAACCGGTCTGTATGTGGGATCTGAACCCTCGGGCGGGAGCGCCGCTGCGCTTCCCAAGCGGCGCACTGTAGCAGTGCGCCACCGGGCCGGCCCCGATAAGTTGTTTTGATTTCATAGATGGTATCTTGAGACTCTGGACTTTTGAGTTGAAACAAGTTGACTTTGGTGATGGAATGAATGTATTTACCTGTGAGAGGGACATGAACTTTGGGGGCCAGGAGCAGAATGATACAGATTGTGTTCCCTACATTTTATGTATTAGTGGCTTGGTCCCGACTGTGACTGTTAAGAGGGCGCGAAATCCTATTATGGTAATTGAAAGGTGGGGCCTTGAAGGGTTGATTAGATTCTGAGGCCCACGCTGTAGTGAATGGGTTAAAAATGGTGGTCAGGGGTGTGGTTCTGAGGGCTTTAAAAGGAGAGTACATGAGGAGGTATCTCTCTCTCTCTCTCTCTCTCTGTTCTGCCATTTTCTGCCATGTGAGACCCCTGGGTCACTTTTGCCACCAGCAGATGTGTTCCCTGGACTTTGGACATCCCAGCCTCTGAAACTGTAAGCAATAAATTTGCTTTCTTACACAGTACCCAGTTCCAGGTATTTTGTTATAAGCAACAGAAATGGTCTAATACAGACCTACTCTCCCCAGTTGCCCCCTTCCCTTATACCCCAAAGATGAGCACCTGGACTATACATTTCCGTATGGGTTTTGTCTCTAATGTCAGCAGGGAAGAACCCTGACCAACGCGGGGAAACACAGAGATTCCAGAACCCTGCAACCTTCTTATGCCGTGGCCAGAAGCTCCCGACCACCTTTTGGGGTGTTATTTAGAAGCTCTACTGCTCATCACCCTCACACCCGAAGGTGAGGTCCACCCACGTCCCCTCCTTCAGACCCCGTGTTCCTCTAGGCCTTCCTGACTTCTCCATGGGAGGCCCTTTTCTCATCTGCAGACGGAATAGGTCAAGTCATTTCCCGAGGCATGCACCATCTACCTGCAGGTGCCCACGCACATTTCTGGGCCTCCCAAGTGGGAGGTGCCTGCTCAGCACAAAAGCACCCTCGCCCTTAGTGGGGTAAAGGGCACAGAGAGATGTGCAGGCCAAGTCTCCCCTGCCCGCAGTGCCCAGAAACACCAGGGCTTTGATAAGGTAGCACAAGGCCAGAGCCACAAAGAGCAGCATTGTTCCCAGCTCTGGCCCTGGGACACACCTGTATGGCTTCTGGTCATGCTCTGAGCGATGAAGAAAGAGTCCAGGATGCCAGGAAGAGGAGGGAGGAAGCTCTCCCAACTCCACAGTGAGCGAGAGCTGCCATCAACTCACACACAGGAAGGCACTCAGGAGAGGAGGCCTCTCTCCTAGCTCCCTGTACTGTTGACACAGGCACTTAAGGTCCATCTGAATGTCAGAATCTCTCAATTTCTCTCTCTCCCTCTCTTACACACACACACACACACACACACACACACACACTGAAAACAGCACCGAAACCTCAGAAAGATCTTTTTTACAGGCCTGATGCTGAGCTGGACAGAGCTGGGGACTAGAGGACTCCAGGAGGAGTGTTTCAGGATTTTATAGAAAGCATGTTTGAGCACTAATGACTTTGTTCCATCAGACGTGTAATCACAGACTGTAGTAAAACCACCGAAGCACGTCTTCATGCTTCCTGGCCCCTCGAAATGCCAAGCCCAGAGCTCTTAGGCCAGCAGAGATGAAGTCAGAGCCACCATGCCCTTCTCCAAACACCAAAGCAACAGCCTGTGGGCCTGATGTGTTCGCTGACTGGGGAGGCCCATGAAATTGCAAAGACAGGACCGTGTTCCACTGGGGCCCAGTGGTTAACCCCCCACAGGCCACCTTCCCCTCAAGGCAGCTCATCACCAGGTGCTGCCAGACCCAGCTCTGTGCCTGGTATTCCGTCATCTTCCACAGCCTTCAGTTGGTGCTCAGCTTGGATGAGGACAGAAAGAGGGACCCTAGATGGAGCATGGCCACATAGGCCCCCAGGAAGGGCTCAGCCTTCCCTGGACGGCCGGCACCCTCATCACCGGCAGCGGCACCGGTGTCTTCAGTGCAGGCTCCCATGTGTGCTGAGGATGAGAAGGGATAAGACCAGACCCCTGGGACCCCCAGGGCTAGTGGATGGGACGCACATGTGAAAAGACAACTAACAAGTGAGACAGCCCAGCGCAGGGGGCCCAGCTGTGGCACAGGTCTAGGAAGCTTGTTCAGACAGAGACACCCACCAGCCAGAGCAGTCAGGGAAGGCTTTGGGGTACAGGACGCTCTGCAACAAGTGAGACAGCCCAGCGCAGGGGGCCCAGCTGTGGCACAGGTCTAGGAAGCTTGCTCAGACAGAGACACCCACCAGCCAGAGCAGTCAGGGAAGGCTTTGGGGTACAGGACGCTCTGGGGAGCTTAAACAAGGGATCAGACTCCAGGTAACTCATCGGCCCTCGTCACAGGGGCCAAGAGGAAGCAGGGGGCTCTGACATCACTAAGTAGATAGGACAAGGATCTTGCCAACGAAAGGCAGCAAAAGGTTAGGGAGCAACATTCCAAGGTTGTAAGTATAGATTCTTAGGGAAAACTGGCATTTCTTGAGTTTAATACTGTCACCTGTAAAACAGAATTATCCCTTCCCCTCTCTATCCTTTCCTTCCAGCTATAGCCCCGGCCCCATTCCCAAGGGATGTTTTGAGAAAAATCAATGTGCTTCCAGATTTGGGAAGAAGGAACTATGGCAATGGAAGGAGCCATCTGTAAGGAGAAGTGACAGAGACAAACCGCACTAGGGCCCCTCCCGAGGAGAGAACCATGAGCAAGATGGAGAGAAGCCTCCGAGGGCCACTCAGCACCCAGGCTGTCTTAGGTTCCCAGGGCCACCGTAACAAAGTCCCACGAACCAGGTGGCTTTAAACAGAAATGTATTGTCTCACAGTTCTGGAGGCCAGAAATCCCAAACCAAGTTGCTGGCAGGGTCATGCTGCCGCTGAAATACGTGGGAGAACCCCTCTCCGCCCCTTCTTAGCTTCTGGTGGTTTCCTGGCAATCTTTGGCGTCCCTTGGCTGGCAGCGGCATAACTCCAGTCTCTGCCTTCACCTTCATGTGGCCTTTTCACGGGGTTTCTCTGTCTTCACATGGCTGTCTTCTTATAAGAATACTAGTCAGATTGGATTAGAGGCCCACCCTACTCCAGTAGGACCTCATCTCAACTAGTTACATCTGCAACTACCCTATTTCCAAATAAGGCCAAATTCTGAGGTGCTAGAGG